TCAAGGGTCAGTTTGCTGTGTGTTTAGGGCTTACTTTTGGGTTCTCAATTCTGTTGCATTGGTCTACCTGCCTGTTCTTGTGCCAATGCCATGCTGTTTTGGTGATCACAGCTCTGTAACATGTTCTGAGGTCGGGAAGGGGCTGCCTCCTACTTTATCCCCCTCCTACAGTATTGCTTTGGCAATATGAACTTTGATGATTCCAGACACAACTTATTACTGTTTTCTCTATTTCTGTGAGAAGTATCTCTGGTAGTTTGAAGGGAATTGCATTGAATTTATAGATTAATTTGGGTGGGATTAACGCTTTGATTATATTAATTCTTCCAATGAAGGAACATGGGATGCTTTTTCCACTTTTTTGTATCATTTTAAAATTCTTTTTCAAGTGTTTCATAGTTTTTCTTGTAGAGCTCTTTGCCTTTTTCGGTTGTTTATTCCTCGATATTTTACTGTCTTGCTGTTGGAAATGGGACTGCTTTCTTCAAGTCTATCTCAGCTGGTTCACTGTTAGTGTATTAAACTGTGATAGACTTCTGTATGTTGGCACTGTAGCCTTCCACTTTCCTCTATTCATTCGTCACTTACAGGTTTCTGGTGGATTCTTTTGGGGTTATTATAGGCATAGAACCATTTCATCTAGAAACAGAGGTAGTTTCATGTCTTCTTTTCCTATCTGGAAGCCTTTTATTTGACTCTCTGTCTAATTGCATTGGCTAGGGCTTCAGGCCCCACGCTGAGAGGAGTGGGGAAGGTGGGTAGCTTTGTCTTCTTCCAATTTCGAGTGGAAGAGCCTTCAGCTCTCCCTACTCGGTATGATGTTAGCTATGGGTTTGCCACAGATGGCTTCTCTTGTGTTGAGGAATGCCCGTTCTGTGCTGACTTTGCCGAGCGTCTTAGTTATGAAGGTATGTTGTATTGCATCAAATGCTTTCTCTGATCGATGGGCGTGATCAGCTGCTCACCTTCTGTTAATGTGCCGCATTACACTGCTTGTTCTGTGTGTGTCGAACCATTCTTGCATTCCTGGAATAAAGCCTGCCTGGTCATGACGTCTAATCTTCTTAATGGCTTGTTGGATATGATTTGCTAGTACCTTGCTGAGAAAGACTGCATCTGTATTAATCACGGATATTGGCCTCTAGCTTCATTTCTTTCTTTCTTTACTGTCCTTGTCTGTTTCTGGAATCAGGATGACAGAGGCTTCATAGAATAAATTTGGGAGGAGTCTTCCTTTGGGTATTTTTAGAAGTGGTTTGAGGAGAATTGGGGTTAGTTCTTCTTTAAAAGTTTGTCAAAGCCATCAAGACCTGGGTGTTTTATTTTTTTAAACTATTTACTACCGATTAGATCTCACTGCTTGTTATGGATCTATTCAGGCCATTTCTTCCTTGTTCAATCTTGATAAATTATACATGTCTAGAAATTTGTCCATCTCATCTAAGTTTTCTTTCTTTTCAAAATGTTTAATTAAAAAAAAATCTTTAAACAGGGTTTTGCTGTGTCACCATCAGAGCGTCACCCTCCCGGCCACAGAAGAGCTGGCCACAGAAGAGCTGGGCACACAGGAGAGGTGGCCACAGGAGAGCTGGCCAC